CATATGAAAAGGAAAGAAAAAAATGGACTGAAAATATTCCTCAATTTATCTCATGTATTGTACAAAATGTTTCCTTGCATAAATAATCACTTATTGCGAAATTAACACCAGTTTAATTTATTCATAAGTAAATATTTCACTCAAATTTACGATTTTACTATTTTAGATATAAAAAATGAGCCTGCTACCAAGTGTTTCAAAACAGTGACCGACAATGATCTGGAACATATTGTTTTGGATTCGAGGAGCAAAACCACCCTTCAAACAACTGCGTGGGGAGTAAAAATCTTGAAACGTAAGAGCAAAGACAATCCTTTTAAATCAACAAACTTATCAAGATTTGGCCTAACATATCCTATGATAAACGAGGGTGATGTAAATCATCTTGAACATGTTAAATAAAGTTGTTACTTACCTTTTAACAAAATGATATTAAAACATTGAAGCGCACATTAAATAATATATTTTTTATTAAAATATATTTCCAGAGTGGCTACAATTTCACGAACTCTCTCCCGAGTTTGAGACACTTCCAGTTGATGAAATGAACGCCTCTGCTGAAGCGATTCTCTACGCTGAAGTCCTAACTTCCGACGGGAATTATTATGCCAAGTCATCGTATGTTGGGATCCGAGCAGCGATCCACAGACACCTTAGACAGCCACCATTTAACATGAACATGAACATTCTTCAAGACAAAGAATTTTACTCGGCCAACGCCGTTTTTGCAGCAATGTTAAAAAAAATAAAGCAGTTAGGTCTTGATAATCCTGCACATCACAATGCCATTTCAGATGGTGATTTAGCTAAAATTAGAAACAAACAAAATTTGGAAAACCCTGTAGACCTTCAAAACAAAGTGTGGTTTGATTTGACCCTAGGGTTTGGACGAAGGGGCTGTGAGAACCAGAGGGTTCATTCCTTTGTTGTCGAAACAGACGATGTTGGCTGTGAATTCATATCCATGACACATAGCGAATCCATGAAAAATCATCCTGGGGGCGTCGGCGATTCCGAAAGTACACAAAGCCACTTATATACGCCGACAGGAACTCCCCTCTGTCCTGTTGTATCTTTTCGAAAAGTACATGTCCAAGTTAAATCCAGAAAATGAAGCCCTCTTTCAGCAGCCTCGTAAGAATGTGTGTGAGAATGATGAAGTTTGGTACACAAGTAAGCCCCTCGGTCACAACACACTGAAAACGATGATGAAACGGATCTCGGCCAGTTGCGAGTTGAGTCGGGTGTACACAAATCACTGTGTTAGATCCACCACCGTTACACTGCTTTCACATGCTGGGGTGGAAGCAAGTGAAATAGTTAAGATTACTGGGCACAAAAACTGCCAGAGTCTGTCCTCATATAACACTGATTCGTCAGCAGCTCAAAAGCGGCAGTATTCCGCCATACTTCAAACTGGGTCTAGCGGACATGACATCAACAACACACGTCCTAACCTGTCTGCTTCCGTCCCCGCCGTAATGCCCAGTCCTTCAACTTCCACTTCCACTGTCCAGGTTTCCCACATAAAAGCTGGTCTTATCCAGATTGGGAATAGTAGCGTCGTTATTAACAATTACTTCCACGAATAAAGTTAGCGGCGAGTAAATAACTTGAATGGGGCGAGTCGATTGTGATAGAGAAGGGGAGGTGAATAATTCACTTGATAAAATCAAATAACTGTAGTTGCTCACAGTATAAACTGTATATTTTGTGATCTATTTATGCTACTTGTTACATACTTGTTACATACTGGAACCATACTGGTTTCTGAAATAAAGCAAATTGTGCTGTTGAAAATGTCTTATTTTGTTCATTATACAACCTGTCCCTCAACTGGACGATTCCAAGCAATTTCCAGGAAAAAGGCCACTTCACGCCTTGTGTTCTTGCGCTCCAAGGAGTGCGGTTTTAAAACGCTTTTCTGTCGTGCTAGAATGAAGATAAAGCTACTCTGTTTTCAATTTTACGGTCCTTTATCATTGATTTAAGACCGCTAAATGTTCAATTTAGCGGTCTTAAATCAACGATAAAGGACCGCAAAATTGAAAACAGAGTAGCTTTATCTTCTAAATGATATTGTTATGAGAGTAGAGCCATATTTACAAAGATAGTGACACCTTCTTTGAATAAAGACCAATCAGATGCACTGGAACATGAAATTAGCCTTGAAGAAATTGCACATGCTATTAAATCAATGAAAAACAACAAAAGCCCCGGATTGGTGGGTTTCCCCATCGAATTGTTTAACTTTTTCTGGAAGGATCTTAAAATATGGGTTCTGAGATATGTTAGGGACACTTTCTACCAGAATTCTATGACTATGACGATGAACAGAGGTGTGATTACTTGTATCCCTTAACCAGGCAAAGATAGAAGATTTCTGAAGAATTGGCGTCCTATCTCACTCCTAAATGCATTGTACAAAATGATAAGTATATGTATAACAAACAAAATTAAAAAGACACTAAATCTCCTTATAAATGATAATCAAACTGGGTTCATCCCTGGAAGGTGCATTTCAGAAAAAATCAAACTTCTTTACGATATGATGTTTGAAACCTAAAAAAACCCAGAAAGGTCTTTTCATCTTGATAGATTTTGAAAAAGCCTTCGATACTGACTCTAAGAAATTTATTATGATGGTCTTGGATAAATTCTGCTTTGGTTGTAACATACAGAAATGGGTTAATACATTGATTTCCAATGCTTCATCATGTATCATACAGAATGGGCATTTGTCTTCGTTTTTCAATAATGAAAGGGGTTGTAGACAGGGTGATCCAATCTATCCATATTTATAATGATAAGAGACAACAAGAAAATTAAAGGTATATTGTTAAATGAAACTGAACATATCATTGGCCAATATGCTGACGATACTGAATTATTCTTAGACGGTTTGGAAGCCTCTCTTAATGAAGCAATGAAAACACTTATCACCTTCTACAATATGTCTGGTCTGAAGATAAACACTGACAAAACAAAAGCGGTTTGGATTGGTACAATGGCTGGTTGTAAAATAACTTTATCCCATGATTTCATGCTCGACTGGCACAGTGACAATTTTGATGTTTTGGGAATAAAACTAACTGCTCATTTAGAAAACTTGTGGGTGATCAATACAAAGAAGAGACTTGAACAAATTAAAAGAATTCTTTTGAACTGGAATAAACGAAACTTCAAACTGATTGGAAAAATAACCGTTATTAAAAGTTTAGCTTTATCAACTACAGTTCATGTTCTCACATCTCTTCCCAATCCTCCGAAAGATTTCTTAACAAAATTGAATAATTTATTTTTTAAATTCATATGGAATGATAAGAAACATTAGATAAAGCGGAATTAATTTAATGCGAAAATGTGAAGATGGTGGTCTGAGAATGGTTGATATTAAAACTTTCATTGATTCACTAAAAGTTGCATGCTTAAAGAGATAAGTGTCAAATTCTAAGTGCTATTGTTTAGCTGGTTTCCCTTTCAAAAACATTCTTCTATTAGGCTAAAATATTAGTAAACAATACAAAATCGAAAACCTGTTTTAGAAAGACACACTGGATGCATGGAATAGATATATTAAGGGGTATGAATGGTTGTACCCCATAACCCCTACATGCCACTACCCCTACACCCCAGTACCCCTACAATTAGTTAAAACAACACACAGCATTTACCTGTCTGGCCTAATGGACTGACCCAAAGAGAGATTAGTGCATTGAGTATACAGAGGAGATCAAGGGAGGGATTAATCAGTTAGTGTTTTGTGTCCAGAAAATTTGGGATTAGCTAAAAGTTGTTTTAGTTTCATGATGAAAGATAAACCTCTAGTGAGTAGAACAAGTTTACAAATTGGATAGTGTGTAGGTTGTTGAATGTTGAAATTAAGTTGTTTTAGAGCCATGATGAAAGATACACAGTAATATTGAGAAGTGAAGGGAAATGAGAAGGTGAGATGAGAAAGTAAATTGAGGTAGTTCCAATTGGTATATAGCTGTTGACAACAAACTAACATGGCATCAACATGGCTGGTCTGCGTAATGTTGAGTGTGTTATGTCACGGAGAGGTAGCCCCCAAGTCCTACTTGATGGTTATCTTAACACTAAGAATGTCGAGAGACAGTCTTGTGTACACTGGACGTGTGTTCAGTCAACATGCAAAGGAAGAGTCACAACTGTTGGCAATGTTGTAAAGAATACGACAGAACATGATCACCCACCAGAGGATAGTCAGAAGGTCCATTTTGTCAGCAACCTGAGAGTTGAACATGCTGAGAGGGTGAAGATTTCACAAATTGACTTTGGTGCTGCGACAAGAAGCAGAAAGCGAGTCTTTAGTCTACAAGGATATAAATGAAATTCTTATGGAACCCATTTGGTTAAACCACCTGTGTAACCACCCTAATTTGATTATATTTAACTGGTTCCAAAAAGGAATAGTACACATTAAGGATATTTGTGATGACCATGATTTCCTTACAGTTTCAGAACTAAAAGTAAAATTTGATATTAGGGGTATGATACTTGATCTAACTCATGTTCCTCTCAGTATTCCCAAGAAATGGAAAGAGGTTATAGATCGACAAAGCATCCAAAAAAATCACAATTATCAATATGCTCCCCTTATAAACCTATGGCCAATGTTGTCTATTGTTCTTGCAGTTGCTTCGCATTATGGAATAACCTCGGTAGAGGTTTTACCATTGCAGGAGGTTTTACAATGATCATTGTAATACCTCGCAGGAGGTTTTACAATGACCATTGTAAAACCTCATACGAGGTACGAATGAGTTTTACAATGGTCGTTGTAAAACCTCATACCCATACCATTATTTATGACTGATACAACTTTGTCTTGCTATGACTGATCGTAAAATATCTAATTATTGAAAACTTCCAAGATTCAGTGGCGATAACTGGTTTCGAACCCGCAACCCATCGCTCTCTAGCTTGGCGATTTTATCCACTACGCTATGAAGGATCGCTGTGAGTAATGAGATTGTTTGTCAGTATGAACCATGTGATCCTCACAAGACGGGTACTGCGGGCAGCGCACGTGCATGACACGGGTAGCGTGTGCAGAGCACGTGCATTGCGTGTCCGAGGCAAGGTGTTGGCTGCCAGTCGCATCCCAGTTGACACCGGCTGTTCCATCATTTGGGGCTGTTCCATCAATGTTGTTCTGCTCAGCATATTGAAAATAATACATATTTGTGTTTTACATTCATGACGGTTCATAAGTCGGATAAAACACTCCCCCTCGGTCTTGGTCGGGATTGTAAAACCCTCGAGCAGCAGGGTCCCTGCTGCTCTCAGGTTTTACAATCCCAACCAAGACCTCGGAGTTGTGTTTTATCCTTTACGAACAACCCTTGTCAAGGCTCAAGATTATTTTATAATAAAAAAAAAGGAAGAAAGTCTACAATACAAAAATGCTTGGTTGACAATGAAATTGTAACAAAACTGTCAAAATATTCCAATTTACATGGGACTGTTTATCAGTGTAACTCAACACATTTGACAGACATATATGAATTAAATTTAAAGCCATTCTGATGGAGTGCAAATGGTATTCATGCATACTGTACCTGTTCTTTTTAGTTGTGTCTCTGTGTCAGTCTGTACATCATCTTCTTTCACAACTGACATGTCATCAGAATTGTTGGCCTGGATATGGTTGGAGCTTTCCTTTCTTCTTCTTGTTAACGTTTCTGTTTCTCTACGTGGTGGTTTCAAAGGTATACTTTCCTGAGACTTCTGTAACATTTCAGAAGCATTTAGAATTGGTTCTGAGCATGAACTTCTTTGTTTGTTTGAGGCTCCCGATACAATTTTCTGACCTGACATCAACCCTGTCTTGTTAATCTTTGTAGCCTTCCCACGTTTGAGAAAGTCAGGACAAAAAGAACTCACAGTCTCCACTGCAACACTGTTGCATTTTAAGAAGCTATTTTTTCCAGTTTTTCTCTTAGTTATCATACTGAGTACTTCTCTTTCATAACTTTTGCACTTTAAACTTTCAAGATATTCCATTCCTTTCTTGGATGGTTTTCGCTTTCTTTTGGGCCATTTTTTTATATTTTTATTGACTTCAGAATCTTCATTGCTGAGTTTACCAGATGCAGAGTCAATTGTCTCTTGTGAGGTAGGTTGCATTCCATCTAACTGTGGATGTAAAACTGAAAGCTGAGGCTTACTGACAGATTTTTTTAACTGGGCAATCACATCATCCAGTCTTAAGGTAGCATTTATCATCCTGGGCCTTTTGTGCTTGATATTCCTAAACTGTGTGGATGTTCTCAGAATATCATTTTGTTTGGTCTCACTGGCTGATTCTGGATGCAGAACACTTGGCAGAGTGGCAGTGACAGAGGGCATTGTTTCCATATTTGATGAGGAGTTCTCAATCCTTTCTGTGCAACAGTCACCTGTATTGGAAAATTGTAACACTGAATATTTTAAATCACATAGTCTTTTTGAGTGCGTGCCTTTTTGAGATGGTAAAATTTGTGTTGCATCAATGTTTTGCCTCCCTGACCGTGTACACAAATCAGTTATTTGCCCATGGGTAGGACTGACTTCTATCTGATTATTACTTTCAACAGAAACTGCATGGTCACAGGTAACTTCGCTTTCTATCATTGGAATGCATGTTCTGCAACTTCTACTGACTTTATTTCTTTCAGATATATGCGTGGAATTAGCTTCCAATTCTTCAGCAATGGTTTCAGCTACTTTACTCCTTACTTTTGAAGTCTCACAAATACTCATTTCTGACATCCCATCAATTTGTACATTTGGATATACTTGTACATCTGCGTCATTTACAGAGGTTAATGCAGTATGCAAACTGTTTTTGTTTACATACTTGCATGCCGGTTCACCAGAAACAGAAGTATGTTTTCTTTCTGTGAGAGAATGTTTCATAGAAACTTTGGTTGAAACCATTGCAAGATGTTTTCTGTTCTTTTTATCTGTCACTGAACTCCTTGTATGATTCTTCTTGTTGAATGAACATATCTGTTTTACCAATGGTTCAGCATCATCATTGTTGTCAAATCTTGAATCTTCTGGGAAAGAGGGTTGGATCAGGTTGTTTGATAGCAACATGAGGGCTGAGTTAGTTTTTTTCTGATTACAAACATCATGTTCTTTTGATGCAAATTTTGAGACAGTATCACTTGGCAAGTTGATATCCTGATTACAATCATTTTTGTCAGATGTCTTTACCATTAGCAAACTGCAGGAATTACATGGAAAACATGGGCTGGAAGACAGCAACCCATCTGACTTTTCCCAATATACTGGACAGTCAACAGACTGGCTGCGTGGAAAGGGATGTTCATATTGCACAATAGCACTTGGGTGAATATCAGTTTGAAGAAATTTTAAAGATATTCCTGGACAAAATGTGGCTTCTTTGTGAAAATGTCTCAAAATATTTAAGAAATGGACGGTATCAAACAATCCATTTATCACCAGATCATAAATTTTCACAGGCCTAAATAGAATAAATATTTTGCAAGTTCCACGATGAGAAATGGATATTGATAGTGGATCAATGTTTTCTCCAAGAATGCCAAACAAATGGTCATAGGTCATCACAAGACACTCTTCTTTCTCTGTCTGTTTAACGACCTGCAAAAACAGAAAAAAAATGAAATTATTACAATGTCATTAACAAATAATGCATTCTGTTCTATAATTAAAGAAGACAGGCAATTTATGTCACCTCATGCATTGTAACAGTTATTTCTGTTGACAGTTCACAAGTTTAATGCACCATCATAGGATCCAATTCACAGCAACTATTTTCAATAACCTCTGTGAAAGGCATTAGATGTTGGTATGATGAAGAGGAACAATTTTACGGATAGATAATAGGGATGTCACGATTCACCGATGCACCGGTGCATCATCGGCAAGCTTTGCACTATACGATACATGATTCATGTGATTTTATATCGATTCAGTTTTTATTTACATATATCGATTACTATTTTGATGTTGCACCCATATCTCGTATAAAATTGGTTTCCAAGAGCATATACGAGACCGCCAAGATAACAAGTCATGCTAGCTTTATATTTCCAACTATGCTAATACATTGGGCTAGATCTGATTGGATAAGGCTAGGCCACACGGGCGACAATAGCCAATCAGAAACGTCAACACGTATGTCCTTGCTTAGATACCTAAGGTAGCATCATGGAGTTCACTGTGGATGAGTTTGAGAACCCTCACGTGCAATTGAAATCTTCTGTTTGGAAATATTTCAAGTTTCCAGTGTATTATGAAGAAGGTGTGCGCAAAGTTTGCCGTGAAAAAACAGTTTGTGTAATGTGCCAAACCTATATTTCGTATACGGGAAATACAAGTTACTTAATCTAAAGTTTGCAGTGTGTCATGTGTCAGCTGAAAGCTCCATAGGTGACAAAGTTTGTTTTTTTACAGGCTTTACTGTTAACAAGTATTATTTTGAATTATTTTGTTCATTTGTTGAGGTTAACTCAATAAGGCCAAGAGACGCATTTATGGGACAAATTAATCAGCTCCTCACAGCGAGTGATGTGTTTATGGGGCAGGTAATTAGCAGTTTCTCACAGCAAGAGCCACATACAGTCGTCAACAGAAAGCACCTCTTATTCAGCGAGAGATGCACATGTGTGTTGTACTTTTAAAAATCGCACTGTACCTATTATTTCAACCAATTTAGCAGTACTGAGCAAATGTTAGCTTTTCTTACGAGAGATCCCACCTTTAGTATCAATCAGAAGAAGTATTTAAAGTGTTTTGATAACAATTGCTAATCATTATCATAGGCTTGTAAAGCCGCTTTAGCAAATGAACGGATGTCGTGAAAAGGGATTATGATGTTTTACAGAGGTAAGTGCCTGGTACTCTTCCTTGGGAATGGATACTAAAATACTTCGTATGCACCTTGATTGAATTAGATGTAATGGTTTAGAGGTTACTAAAAATTATATTTCCTTCAACTACCTAATAAATAGGAAACAATATACGAAATTTCAAGGACATACAAAGAATTCAAACACAATAGAATAGTTTGAATTTACTTTTAGGCATCATTACGTTGTCATGTTTCATATACTGAAACATAATGTATAAACACAAGTAATTATACATCCAAGTTCGAATAGATTAAACATAATTGAACTTACTAATTTGAAGTTTACTGAATTGTAACTAGTTGTTTTCCATAATCTAAAGTTCGTAATGTTACCTAAGCGAATATAAAGTGATAAGTCGCCTTTGCATCGAATACATATATACATGTCAGTGTTATTACAACAATGAAATGTTTTACAACATTTGTTACAAAAGACAGTAAGTTGGTAATTCAAAACATTGTCACACATGGACAGAAGTAATATCATAAGTTATTACATGTAAGCCATACAAAGGTATTTCAAGCATTTTTGTTCAAGCTGTTGAAAGTTTCATGTTGATTTGAATTGTCAGTTTTCTATGCAATTTACATGAGCATTCTGTAAAACGCGTTTGTATTTGATCTGTGTAATTATCAAATCCGTGCAATTACCACGTGTATCAATCAACTCAGTCTCTATTGATCCATCGTCAATAAAAGCTGGATAGTATATCAGTTACGGTATCGATACACATGCGTATAATCATTCAAGCAGATTACAGTAATGAGATAATTGAACGCCTCTTTCAACCTTGAAATAACAGCCTCCGGTAGAATGCATATGTAGTTACGTCCTTGTTGAAAGGTTTGTCCTGTGACATGTGTAAAATAAACAGATGCACTGTTATATCATTGGACATCTTGCTTTATGGAGTCACGCCCCTCTCTGTGATGTTTATACATGCATGCACATCTGTAATCTTATGACTGACTGACTGAGTTGAGTTTTACGCCGCTTTTAGCAATATTCCAGCAATATCACGGCGGGGGACACCAGAAATGGGCTTAACACATTGTGCCCATGTAATCTTATGAACCTCGTTTGCATTCAGTAAAGATATAGGCACGCCCACCTTCATAAATATTGGGGGTGGGGGTGTCAACTGCAAGTTTATACACTATAATAATTCAGTATAGTGTCACCTCGTGAATTCTGTAATGCGTGTACTCTAGTTTGGATAGTCATTTGTATCAAGGTGAAGATTATATTTACATGTACAGCAAACCATTATGTTTTATGTACTAGTTGTGTGCATAAAATGTTTATGAAAATAAATACTACCTCTACTCAGTGGTTGGATTTCAATCGCTTTGTTTTACTTATCGAAAAACACTAAAATGAGGACAAATAAACTCGCCAAAGTGAGTATCTACTCCTATTTGTCTTATGTGTATATTTCATACATCGTTACCAGTGTGTATGTTTACAATACTCAAACTGTTACATGATAGCTTGAGTTGATAAAGCCGAAACCCAGCATATCGACTGGTCAACGATATAGCCAATAATCAATCTCTATCCAAGCTGCTGAGTGACCAAACGTGCTCTTCAGAAATTTCACCCACGCCCCGTCACCTGTCCTTTCCTCTGTGACAGGTATCTCATGATACAATTGGTCGCAGATAACATATGACCAGCCACTATACTGAACAGTTGAGATACCAGTGTGTATGTTTACAATACACAAACTGTTACATGATAGTTGATAAAGCCGAAACCCAGCATATCGACTGGTCAAAGATATAGCCAATAACCAATCTCTATCCAAGCTGCTGAGTGACCAAACGTGCTCTTCAGAAATTTCGCCCACGCCCCATCACCTGTCCTTTCCTCTGTGACAGGTATCTCATGATACAATTGGTCGCAGATAACATATGACCAGCCACTACATTAAACAGTTGAGATACCGAACGTTCTATTCGGGAAATTTGATGACGCCCTATCACGTGACTCTTTATTTTATGTCTATGCAAGGAATATGTAGTATACATTTTGTATATGTATATTTGTATGGTCACGTATGTTTTCTGCATTAAATCTGTATGAAATAAAGTGGAATGCTATGAATGTGCTTTGTGCTAGTCACAGACTAGCGTTATAGTACTTTCATTAAAATAATTCGTAAACACTAGAAATGTATCGGCAAAACCGCTATTTTCAAATTAAGATTATAAAGTATGAAAGTAAATTCTTCTTTACAGTATGTCATTGTCATAGATGTTTTGTAAATTTAAACCTCACACAATGATATAAGAGAGAGAATTTGTTAACGTGTGTCTCATCTGTTACATACAAAGAATACATGTGTATGCATATTGGGATAAAATATAAACATACAAGCCAACAAAAGGTCTACAAGAGAAACTTGCAATAAAATTACATAAAGCTTGCAATACACGACATGTATTCACACCTGATTTCTTTCAACATATATCTTTACGACACAATTAAACAATCAAGACTTGTTTGTACGACTAGACAGTTTCCTGTGATCCCCGAAACCTGCCAGGGAAATCAGGTGTGACTAGCACTAATTAAATGATTTTACATGTGCCACTGTACCAGAGTACACTAGCAATTTTAAAGTTATTTCCACCCCTGAAAAAGTTGGGTTTTTTTGTAGCAAGTTACATTCTAGAGAGAACAGCAAGTTCACTTTAAGGTTTGCTTTATGTATCGGTTAAATATTGTACTATAGTGACATCTCCAGTGACAATTTTTGTAATGTCTATGTTAATAAAGAGAATATGCAACTTAGGTTTTCTTAGTTGTTGTAATAGGTAAAACAATTTGAAAGTTTGTTATTGACTTCATTCAGGTAATCTGCATATCACCACCCAGTGCATAGTACAGTTAATTATTGACTGTGAAGGACTATGTTGTCGAATGTTCCCAATTCAGTGACTATGATACTGGAGTGGATATGGAAGAAAGTTCGTCTATTTCTTGTTTGTTAAATGCAGACAGGCAGAATATTAAAACAATGAGTCTTAACACATTTGTCTCTTATATTTTTTTACACAGAACAGCAAACATGACTTGTTGAGAGTGAGTGATCCATGATGGGTACTTGGCTGATGGGCAGTTGTCCTTTCTCTATTAATCTCTGCCTATAACAGAAGTGATTTTGATTAGTTGTCTACAGGTTTTCAGTGAACTATGGTTTCAACATCAGACAACTTACCATCAAGGTAATGGCCGCTTGTTATGCACAGAATGTCGTAAATGTCGTATCGCAATACGTATCATATCGTGACCTCAGTATCGAGATACATATCGTATTGTGAGGCACCTGTATCGTGACACCCCTATTATCTAGAAAGTGATCCACAACATTATGGACAAGGAGAATATGTACATGATGGATACTTGAGTTTATACAATTAACAAGTTTGATGTACAGTGTGGTTATAGAAAATGGCTATGAATTCAATTGGACAAAGGTTAGGGGCCACTTCATCTTGATTGGCCTTGACTAGATGAGGGTAAGCTGTAGGGATGTAAATACTTGTCATTCCTATTACTTAAAACTTCTAGAATGCCTCTCCAAACAGTTAAACCTTGATCTCTGTTGACTGTCGGTTGAGTAATTTGATGTTAATTGTCTCTAAGAGTTTTCTTATCTTGTAGTCTGATCGGTTGGCTGCAAGGATGTTGATGTTGTTCCAAAGGACGATATGATTTGGATGGGCTTTGGTGTGGTCAGAAATGGTTGAGCTGGAGTCTTTTTTCTTCACAGATGCCTGATGTTCCTTGATTCTCATTTTTGCATGTTATGTGATTTCTCACCATTTCATTTGTCAAAGGACAAATGACGAAACTAAGAAAGAGGAGTGCTTCTTCAGCTTAGTCCCAATAGACTCCAGAATCTCCAAAATACCTTTTGGTCTTTACTTCCAGACGGTGAATTCTTTGAAACTGTCCACATCATCCACATCATACAGGTGAAAAGCAGAACTGCTCCATAAGCTCAATCTCAAGCATAGAACGCAGAATTCATACTCCACTAATGTGATTGCTTGCAAGAGTAGAAGATAGTGAGTGTGAGTGTCAATCACCTCAGCATCATTGTAGATTGCTGGCCTCCAAAACCTATAACGAAGTCACCAAATATGACTGCACTGAGAGGGATAGATCTTCTGCACTGGACAACACTATCTGATGTTAAGGAGTAGTTGCTGTGCAGAGGCATGATCATGGCTACTGCTCGGGGTTCTCACGGGTTGGGGGCAACTGGAGGTGTAGACCAGCAAAGGAGTACACTTGAAGAATGCTTCATCTAATCCAAAATTCTATGGTCATACCAGATACTTCTGCTGTGGAGGCTGCAGTAAACAGGCACTTGCACACCCTGCAATGGTCTTGTGTTGCAGCAATATAGATATTCAAAGTTGTAGCACAGAAGAGTGACAGATCTTCATAATTATCAGGCCAGAGAATGGTGGACAACAGTGGAATAGTGAAAACTCTATCCAGCTGTTCTGGCAACTGATACTGCACTATAAATTCCCAATGAAGACCAAAGAAAAACCTTGCCATCTTTCTTCATATTAAACTGCTCTCGCTTAACATCCAATGCATGGTGTTCCAACATAAAGGCGTCAGTAGCAAGGGCCATCAAGATTGTCTTTGGGGTGATGCCCTCAAAGTCTTTTTCCTGAATAGCTGAGGTGAAGTGAGGACTATCAACAGAAAAGTCCATGGAGAACTTCCTTCGTAGGAGTGCAACAAGGATTGGTTTTCAGGCACAGTAGAAACTTTCATATATGTAATTGATGCAACAACAGTGATAATGGCAGTGAGATATGTGGACTATGGCAGAATTATACCTCCCCTTGACATGACGTCATCCTATTGTCTGTTTGATAACCTCACAATAACTTCTAAAGGATAAGGCAGGGAAGGTCGGTCGGGATATAAATCCCATAATCCAGAGGTAAGTTTACTAACAATTACTAACAATACATGTAATTGTTCCTAATTATAGTGTAAACCTTCCCTCTGGATTATGGTTGCCTGAACCCCACATAAGGATGGTGGGCTATCCCTAGAAGTATAAACCTCTACATACCACTAATATATATTCCTGAGAACATCCCAGACCTTCTAGGATAACTATGACTTAGGAGTATCTATACCGTATTAACTCGTAGAGTTGTATTAATTGTGAAGGAAGATCAATCTCAATCATTAGGTGAGCAGTCTCTTTCCTTCTTGACTAAGTATTTACCATCAATAATTCATCCAAAATTGGCCTTACAACTTCTTGAAGACCCATCGTTACCCTTTACATCACTTCCGGATATCTGACATCATTTCTGACATCATTTCCGGTCCAAATCTGGAACCCGCTTCCAGTCTATGACGTCACTTCCGGTTTAGGGGGTGGGGGTGGTGGGGTGGGTGTGTGTGTGTCTTCCAGGTCTATGACGTCACTTCCGGTTTCCTAGTTGACCCCCAACAGCTTTCTTATATTTGAAAATTTTCCGGACTCCACCAAAAAAGTTGTTTAAGAAACTATCATCATTGAAAACGCAAAAGTTGTTATCTGTCGCGGCAGGGTGAAACAGCAGAAATGGAACAGCCACTATCTCGTTATGCCTGATGACAAATGAAGTTGAATGCTGACGTGAAACAGTTGATGATTAAAGTGTACGATTTTTTCTGTGCTGAAGCCGAAAGGGGCAAACCATTTGATGCCATTAATAAATTCCGTGAGCGGGCAGCAAAAGCTTTAGGAGTATCAGCCAGGGTACTGACAAATGGTCTGGAACACAAACATTGTGAGGTTGATGCAAAGCAGGTAGGGGTCGTGTCAAAATCACACAAATTAAAACATTTGGACAACTTTCAAAAGAACCTTGTAAGGCAGTCTATCAACAAGCTCTATTCTGAAAACAAATACATGTCGCTGAAAATTTTTAAAAAAGCATTTGAAGCAAGAACACAACCTCAGTATATCAAAGTACACACTCTGGCGACTCTTACACTCTTTTCGGTATCGTCGTTATAACAAAATTTCGGGGAGAATAGGTCAGTACTCTGTGAACAGCCCTGATATCGCTTAAACTTGAGAAATAATTTTCTCAGGGTTATAAAGAAGAAGTCGCGAGGAAGGGTTCGAGCCAGTGTACTTGGACGAGACCTGGGTCAATGCCTGCACACTGCCAGCAGTCAGTGGGTACCCGATGGGGTGATCAGGGTCACGAAAGCTGCCTCTAGGGAAAGGAGAGAGACTAATCATTCTCCATGCTGGTTGCTCCAGCAAAGGCTTTCTCCCAGGCTGCGACTTGGTATTCAGGGCAAAGTCCACAGATAACAGAGACTACCATTCCGAGATGAACGGTGCGGTTTTCCTCGATTGGGTTAAAAACAAGTTGGTACCAGCTCTACCAGAGAAGTCTTTTATCGTATTGGACAATGCTCCATACCACAGCGTGCAGGACCCCGACAATAAAGCCCCGACATCGAACAGTCAAAAAGGTGATATGATATCATGGCTCGACAAATTTCAGATCGCACGGTCTTCAAAGGCAACGAAGCCTCAGCTATATGAGATCATAAAACCCCACAAAGGTGAACCTTTCTACAAAGTTGACAGTTACATAAAAAGTAAGGGTCACAATATTCTGCGACTTCCACCCTATCACTGTGACCTTAACCCCATTGAAATGATATGGGGTATTGTCAAAGGAGATGTTGCCAGATCAAACACAACTTTTAGATTACGTGACGTAGAGGTTTTGGTTAAGGAATCCCTTAACAAAATCACGACTGCAACTTGGCAAAACTGTGTCAACAAGGTAGCTAACGTCATTGAACAAGGTTACTGGTCTCGGGATGGCTTACAAAAGGCAACTGTGGCACCACTTGTTATCCCTTTAAGTCATGACTATGACACTACCACAGACGAGGAACCGACAGGTCTCCCGGAATAGATTTTGTGATGTCCCCTGCCATGACTGGCTGTTCCGTTTCTGTGGTTTCACCCCGCCGCGACAGATAACAACTTTTGCATTTTCAATGATGATAGTTTCTTAAACAACTTTTTTGGTGGAGTCCGGACAATTTTCAAATATAAGAAAGCTGTAGAGTATTAGTAAATGATAAACATGTGTACTATTTATATTTATGTGGCAATTTTGTACAATGATAACATTTGCAATTCATCAGTCCGTTTCTGACTCAAATGGACTGTAGTGGAAACTGTCTCTTGATCCAACCCCTGATAGGCAAAGGCAATAGTCTTTCTGAGCCAGGAAGCAATAGTTTTCATTTGTTTTGCAAGACAGGAAAAGACGACGACGACTCCGTCTAAAACTAGATGTGCGATGTAGGTACCATCTAAGAGCTCGAATTAGACATAATAATCTTGATCTGTCAGATCTTGAAGCAGTGGCTGGTAGAGCTGGTATCACATAAGATCTGTGTCCCAGTGGACCTGATGCAGCAGTCTGGTTCTTAGTCGCGAACTACGGTACTGTCCTACAAGACATTGACTTATATCCTTCCACAAAGACAATGGATTTCACGTCAATCGCATGCAGTTCCGACACTCCTGACGCCATTGCAAAAGCCAATAGGAATGCCGTCTTGAAGCTCAAATATTTCAAAGCGGTATTTTGCATAGGTTCGAACGGATATCTCTGTAGAGCTTGTAAAACTAGACAAAGGTCCCATTTAGGAAATCTTGATGGGGAAGTCATGTCCCTAATCTGGAATGATCTGATAAGCTTATGCAAGGAGCGATCCGATCCCACTGACAGTCCTTGTAGATCTAACACTGACGCAATTGCAGATCTATAGCCTTCAATTGTATTGTGTTTCAGTCTCTTAACTGACCTGAGGTAGAACAAGAAGTCCGCTATAATGGGGATGGTGACTGGAAGACTGAGGAGTCGCTGCTGTCTTCTCGACTGGTTGAAAGCATTCCACTTGACATCATAGAGGGCTGCTGTTGATGGTCTAATAGATTCGGAGATAGCCATAGTAGTCTGTTCGTTAAACCCCTGTTCCTTGAGGGAACTACAGATAGCCTCCAAACGTGAAGTGACAGAAGACTTACATTCTTGTGGAATGTGTGTGACCTGGGTTGACTGAGCAGTTTGTCCCACAGGGGTAGTCAAAGTGGCTTGTCTGTCACAAGATGAAGCAGATCTGTGAACCACGCCCTTGTTGGCCAAGCTGGAGCTACAAGGTATACTACACAATTGTGTTGAACAATCTTGGTCAGAACGTCTGGTATTAGTTTGAAAGGAGGGAATGCGTAAGCTATGAGGTTCTCCCACGATATTGATAGGGCATCTACTGCCCAGGCCCTTGGATCCGGGACAGGGCTCACAAAGATCGGAAGTCTGTTGTTCCTTGATGTTGCAAATAGATCTATGGATGGGGTCTCCCACTTGTTCGAAATGAGTTTGAAAGCCTCCATATTTAGAGTCCACTCCGTAGTCACAACCCTGCCCTGCCTGGAGAGGGAATCTGCTAAAATGTTCACTTTGCCCGGTATGAGGCGTGCCCTGATTACGCTCTTCATCATATCTGCTATCCTGAACAAGTCCTGAGTAATATGAAGGAGGTTCTGCGATTTCGTTCCTCCCTGCTCGTTTATGTACGCTACTACCGTACTGTTGTCCGTAAAAGGCATGATACTTTTCCAAAGAAGCTTCCAATACCAGTGGGAAAGGGCCTTCCGAAGTGCCAACATCTCGAGACAGTTGATGTGAAGAGTGCTTTCCTCCCGAGACCAAATACCTTGAGCCTGATATGCGTCCATATGAGCGCCCCAGCCTGTGGTCAAGGCGTCTGAATAAATTGAGACCTCTGGAGGAGCAGGTCGAAAGTACACTCCCTGGAGAACATTGCTGTCGACTGTCCACCATAATAGTTCTTGACGTACTAAGTTGGGGGGGAGATCGTTTCCTCTAGATCCCAACTACAGAATTGGTTTAGCCAAATCTGAGGTTCCCGCAAGCGTATTCTGCCTCTCATAGTAAAGTCTTGAATGGACGTGAGCGAGCCGAGCAGAGACATCCATACACGAATCGATGCAGCTTTGTTCCCCATTAGACTGACAATCCTGTTCCGAATCTTGTCCCATCGATCCCGTGGTGTGTAGATTCGGTCTGCTTTGGCGTCGAGAAATGCTCCCAGATACTTGATTCTCGACGTAGGTTCCAGTTCCATTTGACAGGGTGAATTATGAAGCCGAGATGTGTGAACACGTGGATGATAAATTTTGATTGTTTGATCAGGATTTGAGTTATCATATTCCTTGCTAGAAAATCGTCCAGGTATCCATGAATAGCGATCTGGCGGAGATGTAAAAACGCCATGATGGGATTTATAACCACTGTGAAGAGCCAAGGAGCCAGCGATATCCCGAAAGGTAGAACTTGAAACTGGAACCTCCGACCGTTTACCGCGAACCGAAGATACTTTTGAGAACGAGGATGAATCGGCACATGCAGGTAAGCGTCCTTCAGGTCTATGCTGATGAACTTGGAGTCCCGTTGTATGAGAGTTCTCAAGTTGGCCAGAGATTCCATCTTGAACTTGGGTGGTCTCCTTAAGTAATTCTTTTTTCAATACTTTCAGGTCTATTATCATCCTCATTTCGTCCGTATCTTTTTTGGGCACAAGAAATACCGGGGAGTAGAAACCGCAAGATTGATCCTCCTGAGGAATTTCCACTATAGCTCTCTTGTCTAGTAACTGCTGAATGGCTACCGACGCTCCCGTTAAACGATCTCCCTGCAGGAAAAATCTCCTTCCCCTCGGCTGATGAGTTACTGGGGGAAACTTGTCCCCCGGAAGGATAAATCCCCTCTCTATGACTGACAGTATCCAGCTGTCTGAAGTAATTTGATTCCAATTGTCTATATACTGTGCGAGATGACCTCCCACTGGGGATTGAGCTACCAGTTGAACAAAATCGAAATCTGTCTCTAAGTCGAGGGACATTTCCAAATCGCAAGGTGGAATAAGTTGGATTGTTGGACTTGAGTTAAAACTTCCTAGCACCTGCCCTTGATCCACGAAAAGAACTGGTACCTCTACCTCTGCCCCTAGTAGAGGGGAATCCCCCTGGCGTTAGCAAACATAGACAAAGATCGTGACCTAGTATCAGATGCTCTATCAAAGGCTGAACGTTGGAAACGCTCCCAGCGGATAGACGAAGACGACCGAGTAGTTTGTGCCGGCGGATCCCTCCTAGTTCTAGTCTGAGGTCTGCCTCTGTTCTGTGAAAACAAGGCCGAAGCTAATCTTTGATTCAAATTCCGCGAAGTAACAGCGTCCTTAGCTTGAATCGCTTGACTGCATTCTCCATGGAACAGAGACTCTGAATTAAGGGGCTGTTGAAAAAGTAATTCCTTGGCTGACTCAGGTAGACTCCTAACTGAACTCAACCTGGATGTTCTTTCCATAGCTGTAATTCTTCCAATATTACAGATCTGGTTATGCGTAGCATCCGCCACTGTCTGATGAACCACATCCAGAAAAGAATGCGCCATAGCGACCTCTTCTGCAGTCATAGAAACTAACGTGTCCTTCTTAACACCCTCATAATTCTGGAACAGTGGCAGCAATAAGGCCCGAACACCCCTGGCAAACCAATTAGTATAGGATAAAATGTCTATGGATGTACGTGAGGAGACATCAATGTCCTTAAGGTCCTTAAGCTGGCAGTTGAAGGAAGAATCCCTGGGTTTAAAATCCTGCAGCTGGGAAAAATCCTTATCCAATTGAGGAGTATTAGCTGGAATAAACCTGTCATGGATGGCATAGATCGCTTTCTGAACCGGCTTGGGTAGGGACACAATGGTAGACGCCTTGGACATATTAGCACTGTAAGAATCCAGAGATGATTTCAAGGCCGAAGAATGAGGGAGAGATAATTTAGGTAACCTTTCCAGGGGTAGGCAGCCTGAAGCACCGAGTTCTACAAGGATTCCCGCTCCGTTTCATTTATTTGAGGCGGGACCGTGGTAGGATATAAATCATGAATCAATTCCAATTTTTCCCTAAAAGACCAACCCGGGGAAAAGTCTTCCGACGATGTATCCATAGGTTGGACTGTGAGCAACCCTTCCTTCATAATAAAGTTAGGTTGAGCCAACGGATAAATAGAGGTACTTTCCGAATCAGACAAGTCAGGGACCAGTGGCAAAATCGGTGGCCTGTAAGTATCGATGTATTCCGCGGCGCCCGTGGCAGTACCGCTAGGGCCATGGCTGGCCGTCAGCCCCGACCCATCACCGTTAGGACCCATGCATGTGGAGGCTTGCTGGTTACCAGTGGGTTGGAAGTTGAAGGCGGGAAGCCTGTGCTCCGTACCGCTATGCGACTGAAGCCCATTCCCCACGTGGGAAAAGGTAGCAGGCTTGGTGTGACAGCGGGCATTGTTCCTGGAAACAATAGGCCTGGCTTGAGTTGCCCTATCAGCAACCAAACCATGGCTGGAGCCGGCCGAGCCGACGTTAATAAATCGGGCACTTAAAGCCCCAGGCTTATCCCCCAGTGGGGAATGGCTCTCCGGTTGGGATAGTAGGTGGTACCCGGCTTTCCCGGGCATAGCACCTACAGCCCTTGCGGTACTGAGAAATGGACTGGCATGAGCCCTCGCCAAACAATCAGTATTGTAATTAGCCATGTCACCGTGATCAATCCTCTCTGAATACATCCTCTGCAGAGAGTTGATACGTGTTTCATTTCTCACTTCCATATCCTTCAGAGACTGGCTAACCGAGGCCTGCATTTCCAATTTAAAGGAGGAGAATAATTCTGCAATGGCCGACATGTCAATTTGAGCTGAGTCCGATTTCGACCTAGATTTCAATTTAGACCTTGCCTTAGAATCTGATCTTTGAGAGGAAGATGGTGTACTAGGATTAGATTTCTTAGACTTACTATATTCTGCCCCCGGAGAAGATTTACGCTTCTTGGACTGACACCAAGCCGTATCCATATTGAGCCATTCAATTTCAGATAAATCTGAACATAATAAACAGCGATCTACTAATGTGCATGGGATACCCGAAAAACACGCTACACATAAGGAATGAGGGTCAAGATCGGGCATGAACTTTTGGCATTGGACACACTTGTTTTCGCCATATCTTCCTGAAAAACTACGGAAAAAAGGACGGGAAAATACAGCAAAATAAAACATAAAATAATATAAATACGATTGTCCGTCGGACCAAATGTCGACACCACTAACCTACTACGATGAATCTAGTGCAGAAGGCTGTGTAAAGTTGAAAATTTTTCACTTCACTTATGTACGTGTTGACTGTAGTGCATACAGAAAAATTGTGAGGTTTTCAAACAGACAATAGGATGACGTCATGTCAAGGGGAGGTAACTCTTGGTGTTAAGAGAGTAAGCATACCAATAGGGATAGCTATGACTTAGGGTTTAAATTTTTTCATTTTATTTTCTGTATGTGACTGTGGGAACCACAGATTAAAGGCAACCATAATCCAGAGGGAAGGTTTACGCTATAATTGACTAAATTTGCCATAAACAGTTGTGAAGTGTGTATGAACTGTGAAGGAAATTTTGAAATGTTAAAACCTTCTGGTACTCATAATCTTCATGCCACTAGCGTGAACTAGTCATGAACATTGTGCAACCTATTCATGAACATTGCAGACAGTGC